TCAAACATAATATGCTGATATGTATTAGTGAAGCTACTCACCTGCATCAAAAACTTCACCTTGCACATTCCTGTGACCTTGACCTCCATCCTTTTTAATTTGTATTTCGCATAGTTTTAAAGAAATGATTTAAGACATTTTTAAAACATCATTTTACGACCCCCATTAGTCCCCCCGTGGCAAAATCAACATTCCGAAACCTTACTGCACATCTACATGACACCACCAACCATCTCCCAAAAGATGATTAGCCTACTGTGTAAAATGTAAGAGGAGTTCAGGGAAGAGGGGGCTTTTTGCATAAAAAACGTCATTTTTCGACCCCCATTTGACCCCCCAGGGCAAAATCAAAATTCCAATACCCTGCTGTACATCAACATGACACAACCAACCATCTCCTTAAAGATGATTAGGCTACTATGTAAAATGTAAATGGCGACTATTGGGTTAACATCCTGCCTTGAACAGGATCACATAAGCCGCCAATTGCTCTTTGAACAATAAGCCCGGCTAAAGATGCTTAAAATGTGAAATTAATCAAGCAAAGGCTTGTACTAGAACAGCATTAGGGATTTTGTCAATCCAGTTAATATTAAATGTTAGATACTGCCTAAATCTAACAACATCCTGTAGAGTGTCAAGTCAGAGGTCAAATTCTATTAACCAATCAAATACTGTAAACCAACTTTTATTCGCGTGCGAGAAATTTTCGCGAAGTTCGCGAGAGCCTCGTCATCGAGCCAGTCCTTGAAGTGTTATTTGTCTATAGATAAAAGATCCAAAAAAGCTTAATCGCGAAAATTAATCGTCGCCAACCAATTTATCCCTGGTAAATCGCGAAATAAAGTCGTCGCGAATAATAGTTGGTTTACAGTAGTCAACTGCGAAATTATTGTTTTTCATATATTGGAACGAATAAGTCTAAAGTCGTTCCGTATTTGACATCTGACGTGACCTTCTATGGGATGTTGTTAGATGTTGTGTAGTGAGAATGCGAGAGGATCTAACATGTTGTTCTCTTAAGATTGGGATTTTGTTAAACTATATTTATATATATATTCAATAGGTTGAAGTAACTGATGAGCAGATCAATCCAACTTGAACATGATATCATTTCTCCAAGGATGAAAACAAGTCTCTCTGTACTCAAGCATTGATATTTTTAAAGTCGACTGAAACTGGAACAGGTCATACATGCAGACTACAGTGATGTGTTGCACAGTTCCGAAAACATGCAGCCACCACTAGCATAAGCATGATAAGTGTAAGTGGGTCATCAAAAAATGAGAACCACTCTAGGACTTTTCTGTTGGTTGATGATGGACTACAAACTGAATTTTCAACAAAGGAATCCACCTTGGTGCTTATTGGCTACTTTTGATGTGAACTTGTGCATTTATTATACTTAAATTTTAATTTCCTTGATAATACTAGACTTGCATAAACCAAATTCAGGTTTAGTTGATTTATTGAAGTAATGCAGTTCTAAGTTCCTCTCGCAAGATTATATCTCTGATGTATGAGACATCATTAATCACAGATTTTCTCTGTCCTCCTGTCGTGACTTGAGGGCTCGGACTTAGCTGTAAAAATGTTTATGATGCAAGAGAAAATAAATGTTGAACCCGATGTATGTAAATGTTGATAATAACATTAAATATTCTTTGATAACTAGTGTTAGTGTGTTGTTTTTTCCAATATGAGAATTCAGGGAGAAAATGACTTTTGGTTGAAAACCAGGGCTAAATTGTGTAGTCAATACTACAGTTTCCGTTGCGGAAACCTATAGTATACCCTATGTATATCAATATTGTAAACGCATACTGAAACCTTGCGTATATCTCAAGTTCCAGCAAGTTTCTGTTGCGGAAACCATTGGTAAACCATATGTATTTCAACCGTATAAGCATACTGAAACCTTGCGTATACATCAGGTTTCAGCAAGTTTCAGTTGCGGAAACCTATGGTACACCATAATATGTATTTCAACAGTATACGCATGCTGAAACCTCGCGTATACCGCAAGTTTCAGTTGCGGAAACTATTTGGATTCGTGGACACCTTTGGTTTCCGCACTGCGGAAACTTGATGAAACTTGAAGTTTCCGCACTGAAACTTTGAAGAAACTATTAGTAACCTTAAGTTTCCGCAGAGTTTCAGTAGAGTTTCAGCCATGCGGAAACTGTATTTTTCATCCAGTGTGGAACACACGTGTTGATAACGTAAACAAAGTGCCAGTTGATGCACCTTGGGTATTCGGAGAATGCTGACCAATAAGTAGGTCACTGTGAACAACTTTTGAATATCTCAAGTACTTACTGGCTTAGAATCATCAATCTTTTTCAATTAATGGATCTTGTGTACTCAGAAAATTTAAATCAATAAGTAGGTCACCATGACCTTCTTATAGTATTTTATAGTTTCATTTAAATATCTTCAGTCCTAACTGGCTAAGAATCATCAAACTTTGTCAGATGATGCATCTTTGGTCTTACGATAGGTTGTATAATTTATCAGAAGAGCGATTCAAGTACCTTGGGTCTCTTGTAATTAGGCATGGTGTAAATTATTTGAATTTGCAAGAAAACTGTTCTTTAAATACTTCCTACTTCTACGAGTGAAGTCCTTTTCAAATAGTCCTATGATATAACAGAAGTATGATGAGAAAACCTTTGGCGATAAATATAAATGTTATTGACATAAACTATAAATTATAAACATAACTAAAGCAATCGAAAGGAGCAAATTCAAAGAATTGTGATCCTCCGCTTTCGGTGTCTTTGTTGGTGAGATGTCATTTTTTATGACATATTGTGTCATTAAAAAATTATCACTGAAGGTTAAGGAGTCAGAAATCATAGCATATTCGGAAATACCTTGTCACAGGTATTGTACGTCAAATATGAAAGCCCTTCATAAGGAACAAAATGTGTTTGTGAAACACTGATCCCCCCGTATGGCAACATAACAAAAATAAAACTTTTCTTAAATGCAAATTAACAAAAGGTACTGTGAGCAATGAGCTCACTAAATGATACCCCCGCCTCCCCTATGGTTATAACTGGTGAAAATGTCCATGTTTTCCTGTGGCCGGGAAACCCAAAATATGTGTCGGATCAAAAAGTAAAATAGGAGGTGCACAATGGCAATATGTAATAAAGATTCTGTGAAAGTTTCATCAAATTTCATTCAGTGGTATGAGAGGAGTTACGGATAAGAGATGGGTACCCCAAAGCGTAACAGACGGAAGGAAGGACGGACGTATAGACGGACGGACGGACGGACGGAATTAACGATTACTATATACCCTCCCGCTTTTCAAGCGGGGGGTATAAATATATTATTACCTAAAGTAGGGTCTTCTCACAAGAAATACAATTGTGAAATACGAAATCCCTAGCACCACCTGTTTAAAAGTTGTGTCCAAGGATAATTTTTTTAAAGTAGGTCAAACTTCAAGGTCAAGGTCATTCTTGATATCCAATGAAAGGTCCAAATATGTGAAACATGAAAGCCATAGCCCTAACCCTTTAAAAGTTATGGGCAAGTTTTTTTTTGTTAAAAAATAGGCTAATCTTCAGGGTCAATGTCCGTGTCAAAGGTCTTGGATCTAATCAAAGGTCTTTACAAAAGGAATACATTTGTGCTAAGTCCTTACCATTCAAAAGATATGGTCAAGGTTAAAGTTTTTGATCCGTACAGAAATCGTCAAGATTAAAATTGTTGGTATTAAATGAAAAGACAAGAAAATACATAGGTGAAATATGAAAGTCTAAGTATCTACCGTTCAAAAGTTGTGGCCAGGGTTAAAGTTTTTTAAAAAGTAGGTCAAACTTCAAGGTCAGGGTCAAAGTTCTTGATATCCAATTAAATTTCTTCTCACAAAGATAACATACGTAAAGTGTGAAAGCCCTATCTTTTAAAGTGAAAAAGTTATGGCCAAGGTAAAAGTTTTTTTTAAAGTAAGTCATACTCCAAGTACAAGGCCAAAAGGTCAAAGTTGTTGGTATCCAATGAAAGGTCTTGCCACAAAGAATACATATGTGAAATATGAAAGGCCAAGTATCTACCGTTCAAAGTTGTGGCCAAGGTTAAAGTTTTTTAAAGTAGGTCAAATGTCAAGGTCAAAGGTTAAAAGTTTTTGGTATTCAATTAAAGGTCTTCTTACAAGGATTTCATGTGTGAAGTATTAAAGCCCTAACCCTTACTGTTCAAATGTGATAGCCAATATTAAAGTTTTTTACATAAGAAGGGAAATCTCACAGGTAAAGGTCAAAATTGTTGGTATCCAATCAAAGGTCTTGCCACAAAAAGACATATGTGAAACATGTCATTCCTAGTATCTACTATTCAAAAGTTATGACCAAAATAAAAGTTTGGATTTTTTGTAAAAGTTGTTCAAATTTGGTGGTACCCAAAGAAAGGTTTTGTCACAAGGAATACACGTATGTAATATGAAAGTCATAGCTCTGCTTAATCAAACGTTATGGCCAAGGTTAAAGTTTTTTTTTTCTGACGGACGGATAGACGAATGAGATTTAGTGTCCCATCACTTTTGCGAAAGTGGGGGACAACAAACCAAGATGGAATAATTCAATATATGGATCTCTTTTTATATTACCGATACAATTGTTCGAAACTTCTTTATGTTTGAAAATCATGAATCATTATGAATTAATAATATGTAAAATATGTACAAAAATAAATCATGAAATTTATAATACTTTTCTCGCATTCTTAATTATAATACATGTATAATAAAACACATTTTAAAATGCATTAACGATATGACGCTACGGTTTGTTAGAGATTCATATTTCATGTCAAATAAGATTAAAGATAAAAAATGTTTTTTTAAAAGACAGCAGTTAAAAATATTCTGGATATTTTAAAACATTGTTCAAGGGCAAGTACACAATAATAACGACGGTGCACATTAAAAATAATGTAACCTTGAATTCACAGCAGGAGATTTTTTAAAAATATTAATAAAAATACTCTTCCTACGCCGAAGTAAATAAAGGAATAAATCTCGATTACATTTTAGTAGGCATTACGGATCAGTTTACTTGGAACAACAAGAACGGGCGCAGCATTGTTCGGTGAAGTCATGGTCGTATCCCATTGGAACCTCTGTAGATTTCCCTGTGTCGTCATCATATTTCTTACACGTGGAAAAGGGTGGGGAAAAAAGGTGTAAAGTGACAGCGCCGTTCACGTGACTTTTATTTCCAAGTCGGTGAAGTCCGTCTGCGTCTATAAAAGATGAATATTGTTACAAAGTAGTACAGTAGACAACTTACATATACTTATATAGACCGCTTACATGTAGGTATTTCTAATTTACGAGAAAAAAAATCCCACAATTTTATAAACAATTCTTCAAAGTTTAAGATATTATTTTATAAAACTTTGTTTTTCGTTCCTTTCAATTATTTAACATAGGAACTGCCTTTTGTTTCTGAATAGACTACAATGAACCTGTAAGAAAACATTTTATATTTTGGCTATATACCATAGATTGCTTGATGATTTTTTTTTAGAATTAAAAACACCTACCCGTGATATGGGCCACATCATTAAGTTTGTACACCCTGTCATCTATTTTCTCCATTTTGCATCCACAACAGCTCTCACATGGCGTCATATCCGGATTTTTATACAGTTCCTCGAATACTTCTCCTTTCAGAGTCTTCATGAAGCAGTGGGAGTTTGGGTGGTTATGTATGGGGCTTTCCTGACCAGTGTTCCAACACAGAATCATCAGATTATAATGACCATTCCCTTTGTCCAGCAGGGTCCGCGTGTATCTGTATAGTAAATAATGGAATCGACACTAATGAAAAAGAATTTTGATCACCACATTTTAAGAAATATATATATGTTTATTAATTTCTGTTAAAATGCGTTCAAACTTTTAAATCAAAGCCTTTGTGTGTCATCCTCATTCCGCAATTGTACAAATGTGTACAATATATTTATCACTTGGCAAAAGCAAACACATTGTGATTCAGTTATTTTTGGGGGGGGTCAGGCTTCTGTTGATCTTTTCAAAATATTGATTATGAAATTTAAAATGGACTATTTATAATGATATATTGTGAGTTAATGTCAATACATCCTACCATATGATAGAATTTTAAGAAAAAAGTTATCGGGAGAAAAACTCACAAATACAATTATTTGATGAGCAATTTAGAAATTCACATATGCAATTAAACCAAAATTATAAAAATAAATATGAAAATGAAAACTAAATTAGTAAGAACAATGGATGTAATACATATTTACTTTTCAAAAAGTAATCCATACTCTTTAAAGACCAAGGTTTAACCGTTTTTTTAAATTTATATTTCAAACAACCATTTAATTCTTTTTATTATATTAAAATGGAAAATTTAAACAAAAATTTAAGTCATTTTTTTTTATTTTATTATATTGAAAAAAACTATGTGCCTTTTTCCGGGTTCCAAGAGGAGAATTTCTTTCAAAAATATTTTAAAAATATAACAAAAGAACTAAAATGAATTGTTATCTTACTTTTTCTTACTCCAGATCTCCTTATCCTGCCAGTCTTTGGGCTGACTTTTATACCTAGCCATCAGCTCCTTAACCTTCTCTACTGAGTCCTCGTCTAATCCGAACGCCAGCAACTTCCTAAGATCAGCCTGTAGATTTCTCAAGTTGTAGTGTTCCATTGTTTTGTGGCCCCGTAAGTGCAACACTCACAGTCTAGTGTCAAGTCTGACTACAACAAAAATTTTTAAACTACAAACTGGGTACGTCGTATATAATGTCAGAATTTTTTTTTTGTTATTCGTATTTATTTATAGTTTAATCGGATGACTTCTTGGAAATGTATACAAGGTCGAAATGTTGTAAATAAAACTTCGAATTTGATGGAAAATTAACAATGTTTTAATGTGTAAATATGTTGAATTTTCCAAGACAAGGTTTCAAAAGAATGCCAAGAAGAAATGATAAAGTATTTAATTTCTTTTCCTCAGTAAGTATCACAAAAATATGAAGTTTATTATTAGAGTATCTTCGGTGTAATAAATACTTTTTTATACGCCCGTCTTAAGACGGGACATATTATGTCATAGGCTTCTTGTCCGTCTGTCTGTTCGTCTGTCCGTCCGTCCGTCCGTCCGTCTTTTAGCTTTTCTCGTGTCCGGCTCATAACTTTAATACTATAAGGCCTAAAGTTATCAAACTTTGTCAGCTGATACATCTTGGGTGGAAGGTGTGTCGCGCACAAAAAGTACGCATAAAGTCAGCATAAACTTGACAGCAATCTATACAAATATAATGTATGTAAGAGAAATTCCACCACTCCCATGAGTCTATTTATCAAGCACTAGTCAAGAAGAATTTTGATAACAGAAAATTGCATGTCAAATTAGAGAGAGAAATTAATGAGTTTAGTGTGAGGAGTACATGTAGCTGTCAGAGCATCTGTGCTATCTATATCCCTTGAGTATTGGGCCAAATGGGTAAGCCTGTTGGATTAAAAATAGCTCTTGTTGGCTAGCCAAAGTTTTAAAATGAATTTGATGAGAAGAAATTAAAAATAATTTGATATTGCATATTAAACTACATGTATTTTGATATTACATAATATTATGAACTTAAAAGTTAATTTTATGGGGGTAGGGGTGGAATCTGCATGTCCATATGAATTGCATATTAACAATTAACTGTGTGACATTAAATCTAAAAAAAAAATCATTGATGTTTTATATGTTTTAAAAATGTTTTATGGTAGATAGTGCAGATCCAATAATCTTTTTGGGAGTAATGAGTATAAAAGTATCCAGTTAAAGATTAATTAATGTGTTCAATGTAGGAAGGCTAGCTGCATGTCTCTTTCATTTCTTCAGAGCAAGATTTTATCTGTATCCTTCGGGAATTAGACAGAAGAACTGTTGGTCAGTTTATATTTGATGGCCAGCCTTTTATTTCCAAAATTAATTAGGTATAGATGAAATTGGGAAGACTAATTTGATATTGTTTAATATGATAGGCATTTGGCAAGGTATAGAAATCTATGAATGATGCAATATTTGTTATAATTAATGTCTACACCACAGGAGATGGATAAACAAATTTTTTAAGGTGTGTAAAAATCATTGAAATCTTAAAATCAAGGTTGAAATGATTTTCCTGCACTTTTAACTGTTTAAGATACATTGTCATTGTAATTTTTTGACGGGCGTATCATGCTGTGGCGTGGCACTTTATTAATTAAGAAAATGCTAAATACATGTTTTTTTCAAACTTACGTAACATATTTAACATTCAACCATAAGATTAAGAACAGCTATACCCCCAGTAAATTCTTTGCGATTAAGTTTCCAGTGTTATCTTGTGGTCGACCTAGATGTTCAATGTATAAATTGACCGAGTTAACTGGAACGTAAAACTTCACTCAGTAGATTTAAATGATATGTTGACAACCCAGACGCCGATATTCTTCACTTTACTACTTCTTTAATATTAAATATAACCTAGATTTAGTTCGTCGGAAGCACAAACACGTGTTGTACAGACTCTAGGTCACTTCGCCGCCGCCATATTGAAAGCAATGTTGCAGTTGATGAAACAGGAGTTGATCAGCATGGTCAGGAAACAGAACCGTGTGTGTTAAAATAACAAAGGACCTTGAATTGCGTAAGAAGTTGGATGGTAATGATTGAGAGACGATGTATGTATCGGATGATGGAATATAGATGTATGTGGCGATGCCGATTTCTCCACGTGCTTCAGATGGGCTGTTTACCACGTTTACGGAAGGGGATAGTTTTCTGTCTCGCGAGTCCTCGGTGGTAGCGGACTTGGTGACTTGCTTTTGATCCGGAGATAATTATTTATTTTGTTTGTAAAAATATAAATCATATATACTTACATGTACAAAGTAAACAATTAAACAAAACATCTATTTTTTCTTCAGTGTATTTATACGCCAGTCATGTATCATACATATAACGTATTAAGCAGGTTTACCTTTGACCCTTCATTATTATTTCAATAGAGAAATCTACATGCCACAGGGATCACGGAGAATAAAGAGATTTACTTTTGGAGTATTTATCATAGGGAAAAAATTGGAAATGGAAATATATAAATACATTGTATATATATTTATTTATATATATTGTAGTTATTATTGTCGTCTATTAAAGGTGCATGGACACAGATTCGAAATTAGTATTTTATATATAATATCACAGCGTATATATTTTAATAGCATTTCACACAAAAATATAATAAGAACTAGATGAGATCTCGTTGCGAGCAACGAGTAGGTCTTCCGTTGAATTTCTCGGTAAGACGAGATGTGATTTTGACTGAGACATTCGTAAAAAGAGAATGACATTAAATTTTCTGTCAATAAATTTAAAGTTTCTGATTTTCATCATGATTTTCTGAACATCTTTTGTTCAATATGGCTTATAAAAATACTCCTCCTTTTCGAGACGTGTAAAGCATAAGAAATATTGCATTTTGGCTCCTTGCAACCCCTTATTCTGTTAGCTAAGACAACAATTTTATCAAATATTGTTGCAAATCGTTAAGATGAATATCTTTGCCTCTTTAATGTATCACAAAATATTGATCATTAAAGAGGTACATCTGCAAGACCTTTGGTCACTTTAAGCCTTAAGTTTAAGGAGTCAGCCACTTTTTCTAGATATCAAATGAAAGGTCTTGCGATTTCATAGACTTTTTTGTTCAACACCGATTCAGAGATATCTTTTCCTTGTGAAGATATGCTAAATGGAAATATTTTGGGGCCACCACTACAAGTCCCTAATGGGGTCGTTTTACAAAAATTCAAAGTATGCATATTGTAAAGAATATAACTCAGACCATCTTTTGTTCAATTTTGCTTATCAAAATATTCCCCCTTTTTGAGATATTGAGCATCAAAAATTCTACATTTTGGCCCCTCGTGACCCCTTATTACTTAACATTATATATTTTTGCAAATCGTTAAAATGACTACTTTTGCTGTAGTAATGTACAACAAAATATTGATCATTAATGAGTTATAGATAGAAGACTTTTTGCCCCTCTGAGCCCCTAATTTGAGGGGTCAGTCCCTTTTTCTTGATATCAAATGAAAGGTCTTGTGATTTCAAAGACTTATTCTTCAACACCTATTCAGAGATTTTTTTGTGGAGATATGCTAAATGGAAATATTTAGGGGCCATGCTACAGGTCCTAAATGGGGCCGTTTTACAAAACTTCAAAGTATGCTTAATGTTTAAAATATTATTCTGACCATTTTTTGTTCAATATTGCTTATCAAAATATTCCCTCTTTTCAATATATGAAGCGTCAAAGATTTAGCATTCTGGCCCCTTCTGACCCCTAATTACGCAAGATATGCTTAAAAGTTCATAATATATTGTTGCAAATAGTCTAAAATTAAACATATTGAAAAATCGAGCAGAAAAAGTGATGAAATTTTTGGGACACTCGGGGGATCGATCCCGGGTCGCCCGCGTGACAATCCAACGCGCTATTAATTTAGCCATTGGGATCACCGCTTCGCGTTTTCAAATGCAAATATCTCGAGATTGGCTTTTTTGATTTTCAAACAAATTATATATTACGCTTCTGCAAAAGAGTCTCTATTCAATTCAAAAGCAAAAACATTAAAAAAAAACAAGAGGCCCATGGGCCTTATAGGTCACCTGAGCATCATGTGATTGACATTGGATCATGTTTTAAACTAGACACCATGGCATTCACAATGCTGAAAAAGACATCATAACTATATACTTAGCATGTTTAGTTTGGTTAATAAATACCTACAGACAGAGTAGGGGAACAAAGTGCATTTCGACTAATCAGTAATATTCAGCAATAATCAATATAGTGCCACTACCATACATAAATCCCCTGACCCTTGTCCACATATTTCACAATTTTGGAAAAGACACCCTTGCTTATCAAAATATTTGATCAATACAAAGTAGAAGGTTTCAAGCAATTAATTCATTTTCAGTATACAAGTAGAGCCTCCCCCCCCCCCCTTCTATAGTACCTCTGACCCAGGGACCTTGAAATTCACAATTCTGGAAGAATGGCCCTTGCTCATCATAACTATATAGGTAGTTCATCTGCTTAATCCCCAGGAGCAGAAAAGAAGATTTTCCAACAATTTCTGCATTTTCTCTGTATAACCAATGGAGCCCCGCCCTAACAATAGAACCCCTGACCCTGGAGCCATAAAATTCACAAAGGCATTCTTCCTCATCATGACTATGTACTTATTGATTTTATTTAATACCTAGTAACAGAGAAGACGATTTTAAAAGAAATAATGTATTTTCTCTATATAATCAATAGAGCCCCGCCCTAACACAAGAACCCCTGTCACAATCAATATTTAATTATAATTGTTTTTACATTATGTTTACGGTTTTTATTTTATTTACCCTTTACTGGACCTCTTCTAATTGTTACCTTTATTGAACCTCAAGTAAAGTTTTGCAGGCATTGGTCAGTTAAGACCTATTGTGTAGAGGGTATTTAAATCGCTGCATAGCTGACCAAGTAGCCGGGGTCCACGTTTTCAACGATTTTTTACATGCCATGCTTGAGGTACCGCAAAATGTGTAGATAAGTAGTTATCAACGGTAACCATTTATCCATAAGGGGTAAGTTTGTTTTTTATTTTATATGTCAGGTTTTGAGTAATACATTTGAAAGTAGAACTATTTAA